TGTAATTTGATTGAATGGATGGTAACCAGTATATTCAGTATTTTGTAATATTTTACTGGGCGGTGTCCATTGTTAATGGACTAGCCCGACTCGCCCTGAAAAAAATACTGCGGATGCTCATTGTAGGGGCGTGCACGATAAAAATAAACTTGCTCGGATTTAAAAAATTGTTGTACCATTGTTTTCTAGAGACTGCGAGAATTGTCACAGTACCAAATTTGTTATACCTTTTTGGGAAAATCGGTGAGTTTCGCCTAGTTGCCATATTTGATGGTGCGCGGTTTTTGGAGCAAAAGTAAAAAATAGGTGTAAAAGTCGCGTAATTTGACAAAATTCGTTGATTCTTGTCGTATTATTCTGTCATATCTTCGGTTCCTTGAATGAGATCATTCTGAAAATTGATGAAGACCTTCCAATAGGGCTTTCACAACTGTCCGAAAAATTTTGTTGACATCGGAGTTGATATAGTAATGAAAATGGGGCAAAATACGCTGCTTTTAGCTGTAACATAATGTCTAATAATTGGATATGCTTTAAATTTTTCGAACACTTTCCTTGTAAATCTATGAGTAAGCTTACCAATTTTTGTTAAAATTGGATCAAGGGAAGGTTACTCAATACTTGTTTCAAGAATTTTGTGCTGGCCGAAATTAGCGCTAAAAAACCATTACATCCTACATTCCTACAGTCGGCACGCGCGGCTCACTGTCGATGGCGCGGCGCACTACCTACTCATTGGAAGTTAGTGCGTGCGTAACCAGCATTCACGTAATAGTTTACAACTTGATTCACGATGTCAATCCTTCGCAGCTCGGCGAGGCCCAGTGGTGCATCTCGCCGATCGCCCGATCTACCGAAGAAGAATTATTTGATGCGCGGCGCGGCCCAGTAGTGCATCGCGCTACAAGTTTACAACCAATTGCGGCCTCGACAAAAAACACGTGCACGCTAACAGGCCAACTACCAAGCGTTCATTTATGACACATCTGACATCTCACTATATTTACCCGAGCGTGCTAAATCACTCTACAGTCGATTTTCGAGATTGTTCTAAAAGTTCCCGGTCCCCCGACACTTTAAACCTTGTCATACGTTGTATGACCCGCCGTGCACGAAGTGCGCGGCTCCCGGCCCCTGTATCGTCACCATAGTGAAACGACCGTGGGGGTCGCAACGTGATACAATTGACAATTGAATGTTGAATTCAACTTTAAGTTTAATCGATGTATTTTTTGACGCTGATAATTCCGAATCACCCCCATGACAAAGGGTTAAAATGCTCCCCTGACGAGATATTGGCGAAAAACTGTCTCGATCACGTGATATGACCGTATAAGGAAGTTAGTCTAATTTCTCGTTAGGGTTAGGGTTTTAGCATATGCTTTTGTTTATAAGGATTGGGTTAGGGTTAGGGTTGGGATCAGATTAGAGGGTTAGGGCCGGGTTTCGAATTGCTCTAATCAGAGCCCTCTCGCTTGAATTGCAGTAGCGCGCGACTGCCGAAGGCGGCACAGGAGCACTAGCTATTCAACTTGTGAAACAAGCGCGTCACGCAGTACGCGTAGACTAGACTCATGGCTAAGTAAAGGTCCCCAGGTAAAGCAATGACGATCTTACAAGTTTTGCTTGTTTGTTATTGAATTAATTGACGATGTCAATTCATGGCAGCTCGGCGCGGCATTAATTGACGACGTCAATTCATGGCAGCTCGGCGCGGCACAGTGGCGCATCTCGCCGCGCGGCGCGGCACAGTAACGCATCGCGCTACAAGTTATTGACGGATGTTACTCGTCTAAATTTCTTCGAAGTAGCGCGCGCCGCTTTCTTCTCGAAATGTTGGCCCTATGGCAAATGCTACGAAGTAGCGCGCGCCGGGCTTGATCATTAACAATGGTCAAGTTTGTTGTTCATTGTTGGATTAATTAAATTTATTATATCATATGAGCATATTATTCTTCACCTTTTTTTTCAATGAAACAAGAAATTTTTTGTAGCGCGATGCGTTACTGTGCTAGATCGGCGAGATGCGCTACTGTGCCGCGCCGAGCTGCCATGAATTGACGTCATCAATTAAGAAATTTTCAATTGCAATAGACAATAAAATAATTTGCTTTATTATTTAGAGGATTTCGCCGCTTCGACGCGCCGCGCAAACTATCATTCTTACTTCGCATCGTTGTTCTGTTAATTCACAAAGCAACGCGATCTAGATTCTAATTGTCATACGTTGTATGATTCGCCGCGCACGAAGTGCGCGGCTCCCCCTGTATCGTCACCATAGTGAAACGATCGTGGGGGTCGCAACGTGATACAAGATTCTAAAAGGGTTGACATCGTCAATCAACTTTATTATGAGCTTGGCACTTGACCATTGTTAATGGTTTGGCCCGGCGCGCAACTTCGTAGCACTTTATAACTTACCAGGACGCGCGCCAAATGTTTAACGAGTATCACCTGTTATGTTAAAGCACTTGCCACATTTCGAGAAGAAAGCGGCGCGCGCTACTTCGAAGAAATTTAGACGAGTAACATCCGTCAAGCTTTGCAACCAATTTTGATACTTTCCTTTCTTCTCGCATGTATAGTTTAGTAAAGGACCAGGTTACTGGGCGGCGATCGGCCTGTCATTCCGCCGAATCTCTATGTTTACGAACATTATAGCCTGAGGTCCCCAGATAAAGGACCAGGGTGGTCGGATGTCCAGATGGCATTATCATTACTCTCTGTCAATCTAATAAATGACTATCCAATACAACTGATATAAAGCTAGACTTGATATATGTCTGATTGATATGAATTGAATTGATAAATCCATCCTGGTGAGACAGGAGGGCACGACCCTTAGCAAGCATAGATGAAGCATAGATGAAGGTGCCGCAGTCGGTTGTGTCCTGACTATTGTTTATATCATGAGATTCCCGATCCTTAATTGTTATTTTTTGAAAACTGGCCACGGGCCTAAATATTACATATCAATCAATTACAATTTATTAACATTACCAATATTAAAAACTATCGAAAATATTCAAGAAAGTATTGTTATTACTGTATTCAGTCCGCAGTCTTGGTGGTTGGCCCACTTAAAATTTTGGCATAGCTCCGTGTGGGCCCTGTAGGCTAATATTTTGTGGCTGGTTTAAAGCAGTGGAGGTCACATTTGTTTTATTCCAGGCTTTGAACTATGTATGTTCTTTGTTAAGTGGCACAATGTACGAGTTTTGTATATTAGACTGACCGTTTTTGTTAAGCTGTTTATTATGTCCTGTACAGGTAATGACAAAATAAATGTTGATGATTTTGTGTGGGAGTATTTGTCGTGGCCCTCCTCACGACAGATGTTCCGCCTCAAAGTTATCCTTAAACTTGAGCTTGGGTTGAGAACTTCTTCTTACTCTGCCCTGTGTATGTTCTGTTTGCGCTATGGCTATCTTCAAGAGACAGACCTTAGCCCAGGTCTGGCAAGGAGGACAAAGCAGAGAATCTTACCTTTCACAGAGTCGCTGGAAAGGGATGCCTGTGAAGTTTGAAACCCCTACGATAATGTAACTGTGTTTGTTATTATGGGCTGCTTAATATATCTGCTCATGGACAACAGTCACCATTTAAGCGCACTTTCTTTGATGTAAGGGTGTTTCATCCATATGCTCCACAAATGCTATTCAGGATCAACTGTAAAACATCACTTTTCCAAACACTCCTTCTCAAATTTAATCTTAAATGAATTACAGTATTTTCAATCTTATCTCTTTTAGTAAAGTTGCGAGCTAAATAGCATAACAACTAGACATGGCCAGTAACTTGACACCAGCGCAAGCAAAGCCAATTCTTGGAGACTTTGATGTTATACTTGATGTGCGAACTCAAAAAGAATGGGATGCTGGACATCTAGATTTTCCATCTGTTCGTTTAGTCGAGAGTTTACACCAGCATCCAGAAAAGGTGGCGGAGTTGGCCGAACTCGTTTCGAAGAAGGTTTTAATTCACTGTGGTTCGGGAAAGCGTGCAGCAATGGTCGGCCAGATGTTGGCAGGAAAATTTACTGATCTTTCTATTGTCATTGAAGGAGGGTATAGCCATCTTGCTTAAGGAAAGAAAGTGAATAGCTTGATACTGCTGCATATTTTGTTACAATAAATTGGACTTGACTCAATATTATTGCTGACTCATCATTATTGCTGTACAGCTTCTATTATGCTTTACGACATCATGATTTTTCAAATGGAAGATCTTTATCTTAGATTGAATTTTTAGGCATTTATGTTTTTACTTTCTGGCTGCCAACTTTTCTAGGAATTTTTATTTTCCTATTTTCAGATTTATCTTGCTATTTGTTTATCAAATGTCATTTTTGTTAATCGGTTAATGTAGTCATTTGCATTATCATATCATATTTGTCTGTAGGGTTTTATGGTTATGTTGCCTTAACTGAACAGTGTTTCATTGCTATACGACGTCCTTTAAAAGAAAGTAGCAATTTTAGTCTACAGGATTTGTAAGAAGATCAGCAATTGAAACAAACGTTTGCTATACTAAGAACCCCATCCTGCCAGTTGCAAGCTTGTCACCCTGATGTATGATATTTTAGATTCTCATCATCATCACTGTTTGCGTTATTTATTCTTGTTTAAATCATTTTCGTGCATATTCGAAATAATGCAGTACTGAAATTATGGTAATAATGAAAAAGATAGAGTCACAGGTTAATACAGTCACGTAGCTTGAATATCCTGAAATTTATTCTCTTCGAGACTGCTGTCATAAGATTGGTATTGGGAGAATGTAATCGGCTTATCAGCTGCTGTCCAATTAACATGCAAACTCCTTTTCAAAATGCTGATTTTTTATCGCGATTTCAATTATTTGAGATTTCAATTCACTTTTCGTTCACACAATTCAGATCATCGGCAGTGAAAAAGTAAAGAAATTATTATGTATAAATGCAGGCTGATAGCAATCATTTTGTGCTTATTTCTCTCTTTTAACCTGAGTCAATTTTGCAGTAGGGATGGGGGAATGAATAATGCAAGTATCTAAACATGACGTCAAAAAACTACGACTATCTTTTTAAGCTTCTTTTAATCGGTGAGTTTTATTAGCTGTCAATTACTTTACCCTATATCGATTAACATTTAATTAGATAAGACGACACAAACATACTGGATTTAAAATAACAACATTATTATTGCTTTTTATATTGTATTAATTCTCATGATATTTCCAGATCAGATGTTTTGATTTTAATCCAATTTCAGGCGACAGCGGAGTGGGTAAAACATGTCTCCTGTTTCGATTCTCTGATGATGCTTTTAATACAAGTTTTATTGCCACTATTGGTAAGTATGTTAATATTTCATCAAATTATAGATTCGTTAATTTTTTGAACCATCTCAATCTTAATCTTGGAAATTGTTGTATTGGGGAGGTGAAATCTGTCAGGACACGTGACAGCGATCTTTCTGCCTTTGATTGGGTACTGCTAATCAGCTAACAGTTAATTGGGCACTGCTAATCAGTTGATTGGGTACTGCTAATCAGCTAACAGTTGATTGGGTACTGCTAATCAGCTCACAGTTGATTGGGTACTGCTAATCAGCTAACAGTTGATTGGGTACTGCTAATCAGCTAACAGTTGATTGGGTACTGCTAATCAGCTAACAGTTGATTGGGTACTGCTAATCAGCTAACAGTTAATTGGGTACTGCTAATCAGCTAACAGTTGATTGGGTACTGCTAATCAGCTAACAGTTGATTGGGTACTGCTAATCAGCTAACAGTTGATTGGGTACTGCTAATCAGCTAACAGTTGATTGGGTACTGCTAATCAGCGAACAGTTGATTGGGTACTGTTAATCAGCTAACAGTTGATTGGGTACTGCTAATCAGCTAACAGTTGATTGGGTACTGCTAATCAGCTAACAGTTGATTGGGTACTGCTAATCAGCTAACAGTTGATTGGGTACTGCTAATCAGCTAACAGTTGATTGGGTACTACTAATCAGCTAACAGTTGATTGGGTACTGCTAATCAGCTCACAGTTGATTGGGTACTGCTAATCAGCTCACAGTTGATTGGGTACTACTAATCAGCTAACAGTTGATTGGGTACTGCTAATCAGCTAACAGTTGATTGGGTACTGCTAATCAGCTAACAGTTGATTGGGTACTACTAATCAGCTAACAGTTGATTGGGTACTGCTAATCAGCTAACAGTTGATTGGGTACTACTAATCAGCTAACAGTTGATTGGGTACTGCAAATCAGCGAACAGTTGATTGTGTACTGCTAATCAGCTAACAGTTAATTGGGTACTGTTAATCAGCTAACAGTTGATTGGCTAATTTCGCAGTCATGTCTCATTGCACCACCTGTCCACCACACCAGTTTTCATAAACAAATTCTTGTTATTGTGATCTGTCCCAATCTATGTCACATAAATCATACATAGTTGATGGTGATATCGATGTAACTTTTCAGGTATCGATTTTAAAGTAAGGACAGTTGATATTGATGGTCGGAAAATAAAGCTCCAGATATGGTTAGTATTTTCAGGGGGGGGGGGGGGGGTTGTAGTTTCTAACCTTTCAGTTAGATACGCCTATTAGTGAGATTTTTATTATATCAACATAGTGCAACGCGGGATTCCACTGTTACAGTTAAAAAGGTGCGAAATTATGAAGCCACTAAAAAAATTGTCAAGCAATCAAGAAAAGTTTGTAAATTTCGAGTGATAAAAGAAAATACCTTTAAAAAAATCATGAAACATTACCAGTATGGCCGAGGAGAACACTGGCCCAATATATATTTTATATTTGCATTACAGGTAAAGCTGTAAATAGGAGAGAGAAGTGAGAAACTATCACACTTAAGTTATTCTGTTTCCTCAGAGTTTTGTCGAATCTATACCGAAAAAAACAGTTTTATGACTGTTTTAACGTTTTCTTGATTAAGTGGTCAGTAAATTACAAACAAACAAAAACACACACATCGCTACCACAATTATAACTCAAGATGTATCATGTACTAGTGTACTAGTGTACACTAATGTACTAATGTACTAATGTACTAGTGTACTAATGTACTAATGTACTAATGTACTAATGTACTAGTGTACTAATGTACTAGTGTACTAATGTACTAGTGTACTAATGTACTAGTGTACTTATGTACTAGTCAGATGGTGTGTTTAACAGTCTTTAAATCCGGACCTCAATAAGATTAAAGTTTTATTTTCTGTCCTAATAAGCTGAATAGAAGAGTTGGGCAGTTTGCCTAATTGAGCTTGTCAACATGTGCATGCTAAACAAGTAAATAAGGTGTTGTTTCTTTTTCTGAGTCCTAATGAGCGTGTTAATTTTCCCTTACCCTACCCGATAGAAAGATAGAAGTTTTAACTTAACCTCCGTAGGTTAAGGCTGGGTAGTGTCGAAACAAAAAATATAGACCAGTTATTTGCCTTATCGATTTTTTAAATAGATGATTAAGATTTTTATAGCCATGATAGATCTTGCTATGGAAAGTAAAAGCTTCAAGTTCTGAAGACCACCAATTTCAAGAAATCGTCAACAATTTTGATAAAATTTGATATCGAGGAGGAAATTTCCCTGAATGTAGAACATCTCTCAATCTTTCAAGGGTACAATCTGTATCTTTTAATACAATCAGTATCTTTCAGGGATACAGCAGGCCAGGAGAGATTCAGGACCATAACCACGGCCTACTACCGAGGTGCGATGGGTATATTCCTGGTGTACGACATCTCAGATGAGAAGACGTTTGACAACATTAAAACCTGGATGAGGAACATAGAAGATGTAAGTATCGTACTCAGAAGTCAGAACTTACAGGGAAATCAGAACTTACAGGGGAGTTGACGGGTGTATGGCTTCGATTAGCTTCTATGTAATTCCGATGAAGTGAGATCAGGATGCCACTTAGTTTTGCCAAGTAGGAGCCACTCAAACTTTTAGTGTCACTAAATTACCGTTTCTCTTGGAGCCAAGTGCAATGATTGATCAGGCCTATTAATGGTGTGTTGTGATGCGTACACGTTGTCATCTGTTTCCTTCAATCGCTAATATGGCTAACATGTAATTTTGAATTACATAATTTAGGGGTCTGGCCTAAGTTTTAACAGCAGTGTGACTTGGTGACAATCTCAAGCTGATGAGCTGTGCTTTTTGATGGCTCGCGGAGACATTTCACTATTTCATCCGATGTGTTCAAGTTGTCATACATGTCAGAAAAGTCTCAGCCTAACAGCCTTACTAATCTGTAACAATCTTCATGTTGTCACAAACAAGTACCTGTTCCGGAAATCGTGGCCTTGACGAAAATAGCTAATTATGATCACCTTATTGGGTACTAAAAAGAGGTTTATGCGTTGTGTTTAAATCTTGTAACATCATGTCATTCACGTAGAAACAAAACTTAATTGTTATAAACTGCTCACGATTGAAACCTCTCAGAATGCAGCCCCCGATGTTGAGAAAATGATACTTGGTAACAAGTGCGACAGAGAGGAAAAGAGACAGGTCTCCAAGGAAAAGGGCCAAGCGGTAGGGTTTTACTTTTCCTCGTCATCATCACCGCTACCTCGCTAATCAAATAAATTTTATACTGCTCCAGCGGGGTGTACTAATGTCTTACTCGAATTTTGTCAGCTCATGTTCTAAACATAGATCTACTAACTGTAACCTATGTCATCACTCGTTTATCTTTTATTGTTTAAAAATGCCCGATATGTGTCCGAATATGTTTTACATTCGTGCTGTGTGTGTAAAGTCTGCTCTCTACAAGCCTAATGTATCCGGTTGCAGTGTCCTAAGTCGCTGTTAAATTGATGGGAAATTCGATCGCAATCCTTAAAATTACAGATTAATTATCGGCCTTGAATTCACTTAGTGCAGTACCATTGTATCTAGGTGTTAACAACCAATGATAGGTGGACACGTCAGAATCCCAGCATTGATCCTGGGTCTGCTGTGAACATAACTTTTCGTTAAAAGTGCGCGCGCTCGAAGCTTATTGCTAGTAATCTGGTGTCGTACAGAAAGTCGAAATCAGCACTGCAACTGTAGACCCTCTACAGCTAGTTGCAGTATATGGCAATTTGTTTTTATTGTTGTTAATTTAAATAACATTAGCTTTGGGCGATTACAAATAACTTTCTATCATGATGAATACTATTTCATGATAGTCTTTCACCTAGGTGAGTTTAAAATTCATGTACCGTTTCTCAGAAATATTGACCCCGAATATTTCAGCTTGCCGTGCGACACGGTGTTAAATTTTTTGAATCAAGCGCACTTAGTGGCCTCAACGTAGAGGAAGCTTTCTTGACCATGGCCGGAGATATCAAAAAGAAGACAGAAAAGAAGCTGGTTAGTTTACATTACTGACGTCTGACATATTGATTTTACTATTCCTGAGATTGTTAATTACTTTTCGTAACCACCTTAAATTAAGAGACTAAATGTTTACCTCTAATTCCTCCCCAGGAAGCACCTGCAGTCCCCAAGGGTGAAATCAACTTGAATTCTGACCACCACAAGAAAAAAGGCTCTTGCAAAATGTGCACGAGTTAATCATCTTTCATATAGATTCAAAAAGTTCGTTAGTTTCAGTCCAAAACTGATCTGCTCATTTCAAGTTTTTAATGATATGTTGAATTTAACGCGTTAATTCGTAGCTTAGCCTCCTTTTTACTGTATTATAGGATTATACGGATAATGATTCCACATAACTTAACGTGATGATTTAATGGCGGTGGTATGATTAGTTTTACACAGCAGCTTGAAATCCTTGATTCGATCAAATTTATTCCCCATGTGAGGATACCTGATACACTTAGAACTGATGGCTAATTTCTTTTTAAAAGCGATGTATTGTAGGATGTTTTTAATTCGTGTTTCATCTTTGATGTAATAACATTTTCTACCAAATGTAAGTTTGTGTAATATTGTAGGCTGCTAACGGCGCCAAGTTATTTTTTCTTGGCTGATTTATTGCAATGGTCGGTAACCAATAAGTTCCTTTTTGGTATAAAATAAACCAGGAATTTGGATTGTGTTTAAAAGGAATATTCTAGTGCGTTTGCAGTTTACAAATATATATTTTTGTAGGTCTAACTGGTCATTTGTTTAAAACTGTTTTTATTTTCCAACAATAACTTTATAAATATCACCTCACCACGCTGGGTAAATCTGGTTAAATTGTGATCAATGAGAATTTTAGATTCATAGTTATAATAAAAGCTCTTCCGGTTTGTTTGAAATACTTAACAAATTCCGTCAGAAGATTTAGTGATTTATGGCACTGTTATTTCCCGTCCTGGTAGAATTGGCCGTTTTCATGAGTTTTGACTTATTAAACCCGAAATGGGCCAGATGTACCCAGAGATTGTTCCTAATGATAATAAATAGCGGATCGCGTATAATGGTTTATATTTTGAATGATATCTTAAGTATTGTTTCGATATATTGATGATACATGTTCATTTGTACACTTAAATGTTTCTCTTTCCTTTTTCCAATACAAAAGTTATCATAACACAATATTAAACCGTTACAAGTAAATTAATAAAAGCTCTGCTCAAGTATTTGTAAAATTCATAAACTGACCATGGAGCTCTTTTCTCGATGCTCTTAGATGTCATTATACCAGTCTGTTACTACTGTTTCATCAATCATCCCTGGCGTAATGTACGCACAATGACCTGGTTCGTAGTTTTCAAGTTAAATCAGTTGAGTCTGTATATTGAGAAGTTTAAGATAGTGTTAAAGGTGACCCATATCAGATAGGGCACCACGAGAATGCCGGCAAAGTAGTAAATCCTAGCAAACATGATGAGTTTGATGCAGAGCATCGACCAGAGAGCTGCGAGAACCAAGAAGGATCCCAGGAGCTTGTGGAGTGTGAAGAAGAGGGGCACATACCATATCGCTAGGATTATTTGTATGTAGTATAGCACCTGGACAAGAATTGTGAGATTGTGGGTAACAATCGAGCTGTGCTGGTCGATTCTGCTGTTAGCTAGTTTTCTTTTTAATGGAATTAACGCTCAAAAGGAGTTCTGAAGAATTCTAACTGGTGTTATTTCGCTTATTGTATATTTGCACATTAAATACTCACAAACGCAAGAGGGGCCTCTCCAAAACCAGATTTCATCCAAATCATGTAGGCTGCTCCGCCATTAAGTACCAACAAAACTGTCCACACTGAAAGTGAAAGTGAAAGACATTGAAATTGAATAGTTAGTGTAGTTATACTTCCATTGCACTTGACAGACATTTTCCCTGCATTGTTGCTTGACCCGAGTAGTGACCAGGATTGTTGCAATATTAGAAATGTCCAAATCTTAATTTTAGTAGCTGGTAGTGGTAGCGCTTGTTTATTATGCGTGTACATTGTCATTACTGAGCAAAATGCCATGGTCAATATTAGCTTACTGGGCCGCGCTCAGCCTGTCATTCCGCCGAATCTCTATTCTATGTTTATGAACATAATAGCCTGAGGTCCCCAGGTAACTATTAGCTTTCTAGCTATTAGATACGTAATCGGTAATGCATATGAAAATACTGAATAGAAAATAAGCACTTCATGTGGCATGTTCATAATTTATGTCACGTTAAAAATCTGTGCATAAACATGACTGTGTTTAGATTACGGTGCACTGCACCTTACTGCAGATCATGAGATCCTGATTATGAGAAATGAGAATAAGACTACAATACTACATATATAATTTATTGACGTTGCTCAGCGCAATTTTTCAATTTACCAATTCAATTGCCAAAGAATTATATTAATTGGCTACCTGGTCCGAATATATAAAATGGGGGCTGGAACTCCGTGGTGACGAGCGCATTGTACCATTTCTCGTCGCTTTCCGCAGAGTTAAAATAAACGTTAACGTACAGGCCACCAATAAACGGTAGAAGAAATATCAGGAGGGCAATGAGAATCTGTAGAAAATGGAATACGATCAGTATGGTCCAGAATCTTGTTGCTTTGCTGGGATATTACTATTAGATAGCAGATTTGAAAGTATCTTGTTCTCATGATTTGGAGGATGTTATGAATAATTTTGACTACGAAAAAAATGTGGTTAAGTCTAAATCATTGCATATCGATAACACTATAACAGACAAGCTTGGTAGACTAGTTAATTGTGTAATTAAAAAATAAGGGGTCGTTCACATATTACGTAATCAGCCGAGGGGGGAGGGGGGGTTTTCAAATGCTTACGGTTGATTACGGGGGGGGGGGGGGGGGTTTCGGTCGTTGATTACGTAATCAAAATTTTCTTTTTTACCCTCTAGAATAATAACAATTTGATATTTTAATTCAAATTCCACTCAATTTCACTCTGATAGTGATAAAATTTAGAAATTGATCGAATATCCGGCTATAATACTAATAGTAAGTAGTTTAGAAGGTGCTTGGCCGGATATCATAACAATGATTTCGGCTCATCATGATCAGGGTAGCATGAAACGTAGAGAAAAGTCTTTTCTAGGAAAAAAGTCAACGGGGGGGGGGGGGGGGGGGGGGGGGGGGGGTCAGGCCATGATTACGTAATATTGATGTCAGGAGGGGGGGGGGGGGTAAAGATTGCTAAAATATTGATTACGTAATATGTGAACGACCCTTAAACAAAAATGATCACGGATTAGTCGTAGTAAAAATTGGTCATAAAATTCTCCTCTTTAGTTGTTGACTCCTACACAGACACGTTGGCAATATTCATCACGAGCACAACCCATTAAATTTAATAGCCTCGATCATCCAATGTGCAACAGTACCTTCTGGCGATTTGATTTATCGGGTACTTCATCTTCGTCGACAACAATAATATTCATCCTTTTTTGTTCAACAAACTTCTATGAACAGTATTAACAAGATTTACAAGGACAACAAATATTACATTCCTACAAACACTCTCAACAGATTCTTGTAACTGAAAGAATAAACAAACATCAAATTGAGCTAAACTACAAGAAGAGTAGTGAAATTGTATTTTAGTAAATCTAAAATTGCTTTCAAAATGTGTCTATATAAAAAACTGAAGAGAGTATCTAAGTTCAGTCCGTTAATATCCACAAGTTTTTTCAACTGACAAATCGAGAAGAAGAACCAAACTGCAAAAATACTATAAACCCTCGTTAGGTATTGTAACGTATTCTTATAATATAATACTACTATAAAAACGCGAGGCAAACAATAAACCACTGCTACATTTGCAACGGACTGGTCCCACTATATTGACCGACTTAGATCGAAAACTGAAATGAAGAACCTCTATAACATTCAACAACTAGACGATTAAGACGAACCTAGATGAATAAAAAACGCAGTGCAGTGGTATGTTATATAATAAGAACGAAGAAGTCCGGTTGGTTTAGATAGTAAAGAATGTTTCAGTGACTGATAACACGATACTCAGATCTAAACAAAGTGTAAACAAGTTTGTTAGCAGTGTAGTTGGAGACCTTTATACTGTCTACATATGCGGAGACTATCATGTACAAGCTCTTTTAACAACTGCTTTGTTAACTTCATTTAAACGAGTTAAAAAGAACCATTTCCCATTTTAATTTATCTTTAAAATTAAATCATTTCAAATTCATCTTCCGTTTAAACATCATCTTCCTGTTAAAAACATCATCTTCCTGTTAAAAACATCATCTTCCTGTTAAAAAGCTTTAATATAAATTTCCTATTTCAAATCGGTAGAAGATTAAATATAATATAAATATACACTCGAAAACGTTTTCTTCTAACCTCAGCTGGCTGGTCCGTTTCAATGATAAGATCGATAAAAATGAATCAATTAGTACCCTAATAAGCCCTAGCTGTATATTCCATCAATCCATGACCCCTTTCAGTTCATCAATCTGATACTTCATGAGTTTCTGTTCAAGTTCTGCAATAGTCTTATCTCGTTCCTTGATCTTCTGTCTCTCCCGTTCTAGTTCAGTCTCTAACTGCCTAACCCTCTCCTCCATACTGACACTTTCTGTAATAACTTGAAGTTGAGGGGTAGGTGTGGGCAGACTTTCCCGTCCTGATAGTCCACCGCTTGAATCAGGACTTGCCAGTGAGTTTATGTCTGCTCTAGTTGACTTAGCTAGCGCTTCCTGTAGCCTAACCTCGCTGAACGAGAACTCAGCTCTGAACTCAGGAGGTGGGGATGTGGGCGGGGTATCATTTCGAGAAGGACTAGGAGCTTCGGCAGGGGATGGGTCCGGTACAATACTCTGCGCTGGTTTTGAACAGTCTGTTGGTTTGGAAGCCGCTAAGTTTTGGGATACTGCTTCAGCTTGAGATGGTTCATTGTCTGATGAAACGATACCAGAACTGGAGCTGTTTGCTGCTGCGGACGAGACTGATTTTGATGACGGCAGCTGCTGACTGCCGGATGAATTACCGCTATCTGACGTCACTAGATCCTGGCTGTTTGCGGAAGAAACACCGCTGGAGGACTGGTGGTCGTAACTCCTCAGACTCATTTCGTTCCGGAACATCTTCCCGCCACCTGGTCAAACGATAAAAATATGTTATATAGGCGAACTGAGCCCTGAGGACAAAGTTATTGGTATACCTGACACGCAGCATTGCACTCATGATAAGGAAGTGATAATGATATTAATTCAGTAATGTACATTTTAACAGAAGTCAATCTCTTGCTGATACCAACTAACCACTCCTTCATACAACTAATAAAGCTTCTGCAAATATTGCAGGATGAGTTCATTATAAACTACCAAGTTTAACAAACCGAAGTTAGGAGTCCTAGGCTGTTGCTGGTCGCACAGTTCCATCTCATTATGAAGCCAGGTTGGAGTTTTGGCGGACACTATAGAGTCCTGACGGGTCCCTTGTTCAGATGCGCCGATCAATTGAGCTGATATCACCTGAACGTTAAGACAGATTATAAAGTGGTTATTTATTGAAAGCACCTTAGGGGGACGGAATTTCCCCAAAGTTAGGTACATTTAAAGAAAAACTTTCGATAGGTGTATTATCCCGTTCAATTAAACGTTCGGTTTACGCAACAAAAAAATGGCTTGCCTAACAGCTTTTTTAATGCCATTAAAGACTTGGAGAACAAACAATGTGTCACCTGTTCAGCCACTAGAAGAGTGTACCAGCCTCTGCTAGACAAGGCAGGGATGTAGTGGAGAGAACTGAAGATAGGCGTCGGGGTACAAACACTGTTCCGCGCACTGAAAAGATGTGGATCAAAAATAGGAGTACATACTTATTAAGTAACATCCTCAAAAATAGCGGTAAATGGCAAGGTCTTCTCAAACCGCAAGTTACCAACCTGTTTCCAAGTTCGTTGTTTATGCCATCCCCCAACCGACCATGATTTCTGTATCCCCAGGAGTATACCTCATTATCTACAGTAGTTGCCACTGTGAACCTGTCCCCCGCCGAAATTAGTGCTATCTTCTTACCTGCACACGACAAGGTTGTTAGATAATAATTATTCCTTCAGAGTTAAGTGATCATCACACACTTTTGATTTGTTTGGAGTTAAACTAGGAACGTGTTTCAAGTTTCAGCGGAAAACTGTCATGGGTAAGTTTTCAACTATCTTTAAAGTTGTAGCATCTAATTCTAACAGACTAGCTTACCGGCAATTTTTGCCTTGACGATGGTTGGATGACTGTAGACTTTGTAGTGTCCTATTCCGCGTTGTCCACACTTGTTCGACCCCAATGTCCAGATCCTGTCGTACGCATCTATCACAACTGTGTGATCGACACCACAAGCCACGTCCTGTAAAATAAAGTTTAGCTACCCTGCTGCTTATATTAAGAGGTGGCTTGACGTCCTAATTCTAAAAGTGGACCACCGATTCAATTAACAGTTCTTATACCGACTAAGTAGCTGCTGTAAACTCAATCTTTTAAAAAAACGTTCAAGAAAATAAGTACGAACCCTGATAGCGACCGAGGAAAGACCGTAGACAGGTTTAAAAGTGAAGGTCTCCCCGCACTTAGCCACTTTAGAACCTTTCCTCCCTATTTTGTTGATACCTAACTTGTTGTCTTGGTTGTCACCACAGGCCATTAGTTTACCTGAACACACCCGTGAAGCTTAAATAAAAAGAACTCATCCAAATTTGTACACCTAACTTTGAAACATATGCAGCGACATACTTACGAGGTTTCCTGCAGTTGTAGTTCAGCTAGATTAATCATCGACTGAATACTGACTATACAGTAACATTAAAATTATCATAATTTGATACATTCTGAAACCAGTAGATACTATAATTTTATCATTGTTCCAGTCAGAAGGCTGGACTAGTTTACTGATGTTTCACCTAAAAAACCAACTCACCACCAGTTGTAATGACGAAAGAGCATTGTTTTCCACAGGAAACTGCCGCAAACTTTGTGCCCCTGATCTCCAGTTTCTGAGGAATGTAAACAATGTCCTCACAGTCGTTTCCAAGACAACCGTACTCTCCGTTACCCCATCCGTACCTGAACAGTTTATTAACATATCCATAGCAGATAATTAAATGATAACACTGTAGCAAAGGTATTTGTTTTGTCCCATTGTTCCAGTTACGTAGTAACGAAAATCGCGAATCTAACAGTCCCAAAATCGATTATAAAATGCGTAATCAGTCTGTACGACTTACGTCATGCATAAAAATCTCATAAATGAACAATCACAAACTGTACATCCCCAGGAAATACTTATGTTACATAAGAATAGTCAAAAGTAATTACAATTCTCCGAGACTAGTAGTTGCCATAACATGGGCATCTCCACAGGACACACTGACGACAGAGACCCCGCTAAAAAAGGGAATCGGAACTGGAACTAAATTATTGTCTTCCTCTTCTCCCAGCCCTAAACATCCGTCGTAATTACTTCCAAATGCTACCTGAATATTATCGTTGGATTATTGTCAATGCTTATTGGGTTTCGACATAAATAAATGTATAATAGTCACTAATTGCACTGTATAGTGTATATGCGTTGGATTGATATTAAATCATTGAATAGATTAATTTGATATAATATATCAAATTATCTAATATCATTTCTTGGCACGGAAATAAATTGCAAACGATCGTGGCCTACAGCTCATCTCGCAATCAAATAACAAGTAAATGAATGGAACTGACCAGTACTCTAACCCCATCGTATTCATCCTCCACCACAGCCAGGGTAAAGTCATCTCCCGCCACAACATCCACCACACCATTACCCACCAAGTGTTCAACTCGTTTGGGTGACCGGTAGCTGGCTTTGTCTCCGTGACCCAGCTGTCCGCACATCTCTCCTGGGTGTCCTGCGGAGGATGTCACGTGATCAGTGGAATGTGAGGGGTGTGAATAGTGGGCTGTATATAATTTGAAGCATTTGTGTAGTGAACATGATATTGTTTGGTGTTCAGAATGATCACTAATCAGCTTTGCAATCAGGCTCAATGCAAGGCTGAGTTAACTAAACTACTCATTATAGGCTAGCATTCTTTGTATGATTCCATTACAGTACCTGAGGACCAAACATACAGCTCTTTTTCCACTGTCACAACACAGAAATGTTTTGGAGCTACACAAACTTTCACTGCACCCAGTTCCTTCTTGAATGTAGCCAGGGTTTGTGGCGATGTCTTCCCTCCTCCCCATATGTACACCTGGTTAAGGAATATGTTTACTGCTGATGTATTGATAATAGCCCTAATACACACATATCATAATATGAACCTTCAAATGATATTTGAAGGTAGTCGTCGATGTTACATGTGGTCCAAATATCTACAATTTCAAATGTGCGCGCAAATATACGCGCCAAAATGTTGCACTAAATGCGTTTCTTAAAATGTTGCCTCAATTCAATGTCATTTGGTGTTCGCGCGTAACGTCGGCGATGCTGATTTTTCTCTCGGATTTAAGGGCATCAAGGACTAACACTTTAACATATTAGCGAAGTAAGAGGCTTCGACGTGAGTCAAAATAGTATCTTAACATTTCACCGAAAATGAAGAGGTTTGGCATTCTAGTCTGGCATTTTATGATATCCACACTACCCTATCATATACAGTCCAGAGAGAATGCCAGACTGGGAGTTAAAGTAATACTCCCTTCACTAGAAAAGCATCAGCTGGTGCACACTCTGGCTACGGGCTACGAAAACTCATTCGCAGTGAGAGCTGAAAGACTCTGGAATGTTCTCCCCAAAGTTGTCAATACCAAACGACTCTGGCAAGCTTCAAGACACTTCTCGGAAACTTCCTAGACACCCTTCCAGACAAGCCCCCTACTCCTGAATACAGTGCAGAAAACTCTAACTAGATAACCGAGTACCGACTGGTGCAGTCAAGGAGGTGGTCGCAGATTGCGCGATGATGCCCACTTCTAAATTCCCAATAGGTTCAACAAGTTCAAATTGAGTGCTTCTGATTTAATAGTAGATCCAAGGAATTTGGTGGCAAATGGCGTGGTTCTTAACCCAAGTTTTCAAGGAATGCGATCGCTAACACAGAAAACCTCTATAAAGTAAGGCTTTCAGTTTTCACACTAATAAACGTAAAGGAATGTTATTGCAGATTCGTGACATTTGAACACTTACGATCGAATTGACAGAGATATCAACTCGACAATGAGAATTCTCCGATATTCAGTGTAACTTTAATACTCTTGGCCGGCCGACAGAACTAGCTGCTGACAGCAGTGAAACATTAGAAAAACTGAATTTTTATCAGTAAGCCACAAAACTTTGAACATAATAACATAGTGTTTAAATGTCATACTATCAGTGGTGGCTGCCGCTCACCAACAATGTAATGACAGAGCTTGACTGGCAAGAAACCGAGTAAAAAATCCAGAAGGGTATTCACTTGTTGTGGCATAATTTCGACGCACATTATGGGTTTTGACTTGCGGATTCTTAAGAAAATAAAGATTCAAGGAACAAGCTACGGTTCATACCTCCGAGCTGAGATGGGAGAGAACTGGTTGTCTTCCTGGAGACAACTGGGACAAACCCCGAACATAGTTCTGAGGTCCCAGTCTATTCTCGAGTATACCTGTACACCCCTTCATGTAGGGGGTGTCTAATATCTCCTGCATTGTCGGCCGGTTAGCTGGGTCCTGGAAAATATGGTGACCGTTAATGTGGAGTTAAAGTGTGTATTAGGTAACGTTATTTTACTATGGAATAGTAGCTGTTTGTTGTAGCTTGAGCTCTAACAAGATTGCTCACAGCTAGATTACAGCTTGAACATATGTTTCGTGAAGTGTGTCCAGTAACCAAGTGTAACCGGAAACGGACCATTAGATTTAAACGCCATCAGTTACAGTTCGTAACTATGCCTGAACTAGCAAGTATTTAGAGCAACAGCTCCTACTTTACAGCTCCTACTTTACAGCTTGCTGCTCGGAGAAGTACTGACAGAGCTTTGAGTAGACAAAAAGTCTTAACTCTGGCATGCACCGGACTATTTACATTGTAATTACCTAATTACACAGTATTATTATGTACATTACCTTCTGAAGCATGCTTGTGAGAATGTTCCTCAGATCCTGACTCCATGACTCGCTTACAGGCTTGAACTGAAAAGAAAGTGAGTTTAGTGACTGTCATTATCATAACAACGGTACCTGTCAGGCATCTCACCACCATTGCAGACTGCAGTACAGGAAAAATATTTAGAATTTCCTTGAGTTTTACCTTCTGATGGTGCAAAACGAAAGTAAGTGCAGTTACTGGCCGTCATTAGTGACCGTCAACCGTCATTAGTGACCGTCAACCGCCAACCGGACAGGCATCTCACCACAATTGCAGTTCAGTAGAATGAAATGAAACGAAACAGGGCATTTATAGCCCGATCATATATATCGACAACAGATATAAATGAAAGAACTGAACCATTATTGTATTTTACTTTCTAGGTGTGGTATGCCGACTCGAGACTAACGCAGATACGATTTTGATCATATTCAGATAAACTTTTTGAGCTTTATAATGATTGTTTTGACAGTTTGATAATTTGAGTATTTTAAAATATAAAGAGTTCTTTGATTTTGAATTTGAGAGATAATGACACCATTTTAATCAGAAAAAATTGGAAATTTATTATTTTTGGCTGTTTCTATATTAAGACTATTTCGATCGGTAATTGTCAAATCTCTCAGTAAATTTTCTTAACTGCAAGCTCTCTGCAAGCAATATTTTCATCAGCCTGCCAACTAAAGTAATGCAGCAATTTATACCATGATTACAGGGTTAATTTACCGAAATAATTGCAAATACAGATCACCAAAGACATATTTCAAGATACGATCGTTATTTTAGGTATTTGGTATATATACTTGTTTATTGTTTATCGGAGTGTAAATATCTGTGAAGTGCCTACCATTAGACGTCCGTATCCAGCGGCAGGATATTGGTCAGCCAATCACCTGCCAGCATATGGGCTGTGTAGTTTTACAGCGAAAGTGATTGGTTTAATTAGGCTAGGATCTGTTTTATTTTACTCTTGGTATATTTTGGGAAACTTAGGAGAAAACGTTTAGAACAATTATTACGTGAAAACGTACGTCTTTTGGAGTTTTAATTGACAGGGTCTGGGATGTAGACAATACATAATCAGTCGGTGCTTTGTAGTGTCTTGTTCTCATTGTGTTGTCACGCACAGGTTGCACGTGTACCAAAAACAGATGTCTTCCGCTTTCATAATTTGTTAAGAGAGCTTGTGGTTTTGTTTTATTAATTTTTTCCAGTTCGAGCGAACAAAATTATGATTTGTTTTTAAGTTTGACGTATATATTTATACTCCATACAAAAATATCGAAAATTATGAAATCTTGTTTGGATAAAAAATATTTTAAATTATCATAATATTATATTATTTATTCACGACCGCCCAATAATTTCTCATTCCAAATTCTAACAAAACACCTCCTTCAGATCGGACATGGTCAACCCAGATCTTCCCACCCCCACCCTGATCCTAGCAGGCATCCTCTCCCAGATCACATTCGAGAAGATCGCATTACAGATGGACTTATCTCCTCCCTCAGAGTACTTTGAGATAACATGGAGATTAGCGCTGTTCTGTGATTATCCCGGTATTGGCTGGTTAGAGCTGGTGTTGCTGTCCACTCTGCTCGCCGTATTATGTGTTATAAGGACACCCACTAAAAATAAACTGCTTCGTGGGACATTGACATTTGTTGGATCGTTGATACTAAATGCTAGCGTTGGGAGTGTTGGATTCACCGGAGTTTATTGCTTGAACGAACATTTTGACTATAGGATTTCGCTGGAGATTTTCCAATACGCAACTACCCCAATCTTCGCTTCAGCAGCGGTATTTGTCGCTATTAACTACTTGAAAAGATCCCCAGTAACTACAGAACTACCTCCAAATGAAAGAGATCCTCTAATTTGCCGACTGAGCGTCTTCACCCCAGGAACTGCTATCTTCTTAACGGGAGTTTGCGCACAATTAACATTCGAGAAGTTGCTTGGTATCTTGGTTACCTCATACCCGACAGCACCTGATTTCTGCGCGCACCGCGGGGTCGGCAGCTGGGCCCAGCTTTCAGCATTGTCAGCATTCCTCCTACTTATCATCCTCTGTGTTAACCGTGGTCGACAAAGGCTGCCTCGGGGAGTAGTAACATTCCTGGTCTCATTTCTCCTGAATTCCAGTCTGGGTCACATTGGTGGGGTGGGTGTGTTTTGTGGTAGTCAGTACAGTTTTAGTGTAAGGGAGATGTACTGCAGGTATGTCAACATCCCGGTTGTAGGATCGGCTGCTCTCTTTTTCTTTGCTCTTTTCTTGAAAATGTCTGATGATGATCATCCTGCTTTATTCCAGTTCCCAGCAGAAGTTCGGCCCGGAATATCTCGTGCAATAGAAACTAACACTAGATACCTTAGAGGCCTTCTATTACGAAACAACTAAATCTCAAATAGCTGGCATAGATACGATTCCTGCTTAGTGCCTACACTTCTATCAGGGTTTGCTGTATCAAAGGAGAATACTAGTTTTATATCATATTAATCGTGAGATGTGTATTATGTTTGTTGGTATATTTCAACATAATATTATGTGACCTCAGATAATATGCTTGCCTTTGTCAATGGTCAAAGCTCTGTACTTCATTTATCACCTGCAAGCAGCACATTGAGAGTAAAGGAAGAGCGTCACATCTTTTAATAGAATATGGCCCCCGCTGAGACGTGCAATTAATTTTAGATCAATAATTAATTGAAACAATGCCGTTGGTACATTTCTCTGATATGTACATTTTTTAGATTTCTAGAGGTGTTGATAGCAATAAGTGCAGTGTGATGCTAATAAAGTTGTCAGTAATATCTTCACAGATGAGTTTTATTAATTGCTATTCATGTGATTAATTTTATTACACATTTATTCACGACAGAAAGGTTTAAATCTGATATAAGGTCTGATGAATTGCACAGACAATTTCTAATATTTGAAATCATCAAAATATGTGCCATGTAGATTGGAATTTTAGATTGTAATGTTACTTAAGTGCTTCACTGTGTCAAGACTAACGTGAATTAAGGGTGTGATTTTCTTTGCCCAACAAAAATCAGTTCCACACTTAACAGGCTGAGGTCTAAACAGAACCCGGAAAACTAAAACACATTCCGATGAAAAAGAACGAGGTAAAATCAGTAATACTGAAGCAGTGCTGAAAAATATATCCATATCTTTACTTAGGTAAATTAGCATATCGTCGTAAATTGGGTGAATTTTCGAAAACAAAGGCAGCGAACACCACATAAACCGGATATTCCACGTTTACAGGTTTACCCCGACCTAAACAAGTCAAATATGTGTTTTTCAGTGCCGGGTTAAAAATGCTTGCATTGTCTGTGAAGCTATTCTGGGAGTATAATTCAGATATTGGACGACTGACACCTCGAACTGACAGTGACCTACAAAAGAAAATGAGCACGATTAGCTTGGTATTCAGACAGTTCAGTAAGAAGGAGAATAAAGCTAAAATCACATACCTACCTAAACACTAAAGAAATACCAGTCACCAGTCACCAACAAACCAACAAATAAATGGAGCTCCACAAAAACACGAAACTGTCGAACTTGACAGGATTCTCATGTTTAAGTGTTAACTTTTAAATGAGCAACACTTTACACGAAGTGCACGAGACCTGTCACGATATTACCAGAGTGGAACGATACTAGAAATGGAACACAATCCACATTGATTGTGCGTACAGTTGTACACCATAACTAACGGTGCAAAAATAGAGTTACAGCCGGTATCAATCAAATTTCAGATATGAAAACTGCTCACCAACTTTAGATGATGACACTTAGGCAACTTTACTTACAAAATGTCGGGATTTGTGGTCAGGTGACACTTTGAGTAACTGATACGAAGGTCGACAATAAGATTTTTGAGCGCGTGGTCAGATGTTTAACAATACAGAATAGGTGATGAATAGGTCTAAACATGCGATCAATACAAAGAAAAAAGAAGTTAATTAAATAGCTTTTCTAGGAATACACATAAACGCATGGTAAGTGATAGCCGGCTGCGTGGTTTGCGCTAAACGTGACGAATAATTTAACGAATGGTAAGATAAAAATTAAACAATTATTATACAAAATATATGGGTGAAGTCTAGTAACATGAAAATAACTCTAGAGAATTGAAATAAACTATTACAACAGCAACCACAACAAAAACACCATCATGACCAGAACCTACCTCTTTTGTCACGATGCTGTAAACTAGACGGAGCTGGTTGGTTGCATCAAATGTCTTGCGGAGTTCCAACATTTCGTAGAGAACGCAACCGCACGACCACACGTCGCTTTTGTAGCCGTAGGTTAAACCTCTGGGATAGTATCAGAGTTAGGGCACTTTCAACAATCAATAGATTAAAAAACCTTTTTTTTTCAGCATATTCTCATTCGAACCAAAACGCCGGGATAGCGTTTTAAAGATCTCAATTATCTGGTTTTATCATTTTATATTTCTAATTATTCGTATAAAAAGTTAAATTGAAGACACAATTTTTGGGCACAATTTTCTATCCTCTCATGAAACATTGCGCGCAGATTTTGCTTTTTTGTATACATAATTGTCCGATTGTCCGATTATTACGTAGTCAGTTTACTTTTGTTAACCACTGATTGAAGCAACAATCCGATTTAATAACTAAGTTTTGGTGCCTATATTTTTACCTAGTGCAACTGTGTAATTCTCGATTATGTTTAACAGCTTTTTAATTAATGTTTTATTCATTCTAGTATACCCATATAGTAGAAAAATTGTAAACTAACTAACATCTCAAGATCTAAAATAATGCCGTATTCTCGCCACTTGATAATCGTTTTAAATGCTCATTGGTCATCTCAACAGTGAATAGTTATGTCGTTATGTCGACGTTGCTTGGCTCTCTCTCAGAACGGCAACAAGAGTGATGTGGCCATGTCCAATAAAAACTCAGTGATGGTACCTGACTATTTTAGGGCACTATATAAGGATAGGTATTAAGTATTTAGACCAAATTCACAGTGTTTACTGTTTTGAGTTCATGCTGTTACTAAGGCGACGCTTCTGAACGTGAAACGTCCCATTCACAGACATGTGAAGTGTATGGACTGTTTGGGTTATTTTAAACCGTCACCGGGAAAGAACCACTGACGTAAGAATTTAACATAATACCAGCATACATTGTTGATTGCTAATTGCTAGCACGTACAGAATATGTTCACGTCATATTTGTCCAGACGTCAAGGCCATTATATTCCCGGTCCCTTCTTTTGTGAGAAGATCATGAGACTGAAATAGTACATCACAATTCACAAAGGTACAAAACAATGTCGAGGAACTGTGAGATGGAACAGAAGCATCATCTGACGTTATCAGTGGGGGTCTGATGTGAGCTGCTCCTTCAACAATGGAAACTCTTTTCATAGGTCGGGCATTGGTCAGCCATTGTTCCTTTGTACAAAGATACTAGCCAGCTAGCCTGACCCACGTCAACTTTTATAAAGGTACGTTTTATGTGCAATTGTTTTCTGAATATCCGGTTAAAAAGATAGATCTCAGAAGTCAGAATAGAAAGTTAGTTGAAGTTTGTTTAATTCAAGTTTGTTAGAGATGTTACTTTTGTTGGCATTTGTGGGCATCACAGCCGGAGAGTTAGTCAACATCGCCGATAAGGGGTCGATAAGTGCGACATCTACAGGATGGGGCGGAGTTGCCAGTCGAGCTATAGACGGTAGAACTGATGGCCAGTGGGGCAGGTAAGATACTATTATGTTATCTACTTAAGGTGTAACTCTTGATCTGCCTTAGATAGGAAACTTCGAAGTCCGAACACTCAACACAGCTCCTAAATTTAATGGACGACATATTCTATAAATATTAAACTGTTGACCACACCTCTAGAGGGTCCTGCTACCACTCCTCACAAGCAAAAGGAGGCAAGCTGACTCTGTCATTACATGGGGAGGAGTTGGGGGCTACATGGCCGGTTCAGAGCATCAGTGTCTTCAACAGACTGGATCTCTGCTGTGACCAGCGAATTCAGGGCGTAAGTTAAACTTATTTCTTGTGAGTTTCGGGCCTGACGCCATTTTCTTTCTGTATGCAGCAACCATGTTAAGTCTTGATATTACTCAACGAAATCGTACTGATTACCAGTTGATAGGCCTGACTTAAGAAACTAAGCTGCTCAGACCAGTAACCAATATTATCTTGTGAACAGGTAGAAGTGTGGCTGGATGAGCACATGTGTGGAGCACTTACCTTCGTGGAGGGGCAGCACGAGTATACAGTAGACTGTGAAGGGAAGATGGGCAGTACTGTTACTGTTCACCATCCTACTCAGTACCTACAAGTGTGTGAACTGAGAGTCTTTGGTAAGTGAACCACTTCCTCTCCAGTATTTTAGCATGATTGCCAGTCTTACAATTTAAATGTAAAGATAGGAGATTTGTTTCATTGTTAATTAATAAGGACTTATTACAGAGTTTTTCCCATTGCTTTTGTCAGTAGATTTAAATAAATCAGTTCAATTGTTCCATTTCAGTCGACGACTCCTACAAGCCGGACATACCGAATTATGTGAATGTAGCCAAGGAGGGTGAAGCTACAACAACTAGTGTAGGTTGGGGAGGTGTAGCCAGCAGGGTTAAAGACGGCAACACAAACGGCTATTGGAGTGGGTAAGTGTTTGTTCTTTGTCTCATTTCTATTATCTTAAGTTATATATAACTTAAGATACAATATCATGTACTTAGCAAAGTTCTTCAATCTTTAAGTGTTGATTATGTTAACTGACTGACAAACCCCCCCCCCCCGCAGAGGATCGTGCTCGCACTCAGGTAACGCTGGGAACAACAGAGTAACAGTCACCCTGCCTTACTCTGATATTGGTATCAAGTATCCCGTCTCCGCAGTTAGAGTTTACAACAGATTAGACACTTGTTGTGATCAGAGAATCGACAATGTAAGTCGAGCAGATATATACATGAACCATACAACAATTATCGCGATAAATTTGAATACATTGCTGCTACAGTATCATTCCATTTTTAGCCTTTACAAACAGCTTAGTTTTGGATCGTCCTCCTCACTGCGGACAAGGAAATCTGATTATCTCTCTCAAAGGTTCAAGTATTTGCCGACGACCATATGTGCGGACAGATCAAGTTCGAGGAGGGAAAGAAAGCGTACATGGTCGACTGTGGCAACAAGACTGCTGGTGAGGTTTCAGTACGATTGTCTGCAGGGTGGCTCCAAGTTTGCGAACTTGAAGTTCTCGGTAAGTTTAGGAGTACCACTTAAACTCGGTTTATTACTTAAATTTCCAGTGTCAACGTCTGATAGAAAAATTAAAATCGTTTGCTATTGATTTTTTCATGAATTCTCAATCCTTCCCGAAATATTTATACTATCAAAGAATGGAGAATGAAAAGGAGTTCAAGTGTCTAACAGATTACTCCAACAGTTTTTGGAGGAGAACATTCCAACTGACATCCCCAAGTTTATCAACGTGGCAGTAAACGGCACAGCATCTTCCTCTTCAATGGGATGGGGAGGTGTTGCCAGCAGAGTAATAGATGGAAACAGAAACGGAATGTGGGGCGGGTAAGTAAACTTTTGTTAAATATATTAACAGTTATTAATAAAGAATGGTTCTGTGTTCATCTTGACACCAGAATATAAAGCAGATACACTGTCAAACAATTATGTGAGAATCCCAATCTACGTTTTAGAGTGGCCGAAAAAGAACAGAGGATACAATATTATCACTGCACCAATAATTATTTCAGACAATCGTGCCAGCATTCAGCTGGAAATGGAGGACAACATTCAGTTTCAGTAACACTACCAGCTGGAGATTTAGGAGTCAAGTACCCCATCTCCTTTATTAGCATCTACAACAGGCTGGACGCTTGTTGTGATCAGAAAATCAACGGGGTAGGAAGGTTTCTGTTCATAGAAAAGTGACCTAGTCATTGTAGTCTTGCAGTTTTATTTATAGTATAATATTTGCCAACACCCATTAGAGATAAATCCAACCTTATTTATCAAGTACTGAAGAAATCCCCACCCAGGCGATGGTGTTTGCTGATGAGCACCAATGTGGACAAGTCCAGTTCCAGGAGGGTAAACAATCCTATAAGTTCGATTGTGGAGAGTTTGCAGCTGGTCAAGTTTCTGTTAGACTCAGTAGCGGACAATCTCTACACGTGTGTGAAATAGAGGTGCTAGGTAAGATAGATAAGATCAGTTTGATAATTGATTCTAAACAGTAGACATGCGGAGGAAGAAACACTTGCCTATTTCAAATTTTATCCTTAACACAATATCATCAACAGTTTTGGAGGAGAACATTCCAACTGACATTCCTAAGTTTATCAACGTGGCAGCCGATGGTACAGCATCTTCCTCTTCAATGGGATGGGGAGGTGTTGCCAGCAGAGTAATAGATGGAAACAGAAACGGCATGTGGGGCGGGTAAGTGGACTTTTGTTTATTAAAGTACTGGTGAATTTCTACTAACGACTTTGTGTAAAGTTTAAAATCTTCAGTTTCTCACGCATTGTCACTAAACGTTACCCGCAGTGCTTGTTCAATGGTTAATATACTTGTTATCATTTGTTGCAACTACACAATTGCGTCAATGCACTTAGTAACATTTGCGAGCTTCTGTTCGATCAATTGTCTGAATTGCAGCTGCATTGAATTGAGATGAAGGATTGTGGGAATCACAATCTTCTTTGTAGAGTGATAACATCACCATAATCTTATCGCAAAATATTGAAACTGTTACGCGCCCCTGAACCAAAAAAAGGGAAGGTAGGTAAGGGTAGGTAGACTAAAACTGTAAAAATAACTATTTCAGACAATCGTGCCAGCATTCAGCTGGAAATGGAGGACAACATTCAGTTTCAGTAACTCTACCAGCTGGAGATTTCGGAGTCAAGTACCCCATCTCCTTTATTAGCATCTACAACAGGCTGGACGCTTGTTGTGATCAGAAAATCAACGGGGTAAGTAGCTCAGTCGCTGATTGCACACAAATAATTTACACAGTTACTCATAATGGAACATTACTAAGCTAATAATATATAAATTTGCAGTTTGATTCGAACCCGTTATCTTATAAGACTTAGAACAAATCCCCACCCAGGCGATGGTGTTTGCTGACGAGCACCAATGTGGACAAATCCAGTTCCAGGAGGGTAAACAACCTTACCAGTTTAACTGTGGAAACTTCTCGGCAGGTTCAGTCTCTGTCAAACTCAGTAGCGGACAATCTCTGCACGTGTGCGAGATAGAGGTGCTAGGTAGGATCAATATTCAATACTTTAATTATAATCATGATCATTAATTATTGTCTGTAGGTTATACCTGAATTTCAGCATTAGAAGTGATTAATCAAGAGTCCTTATAACCCTCCTCCATCACCCAATGTTTATAATGTACTAGTAGCCCAATACCAGGATTTACACGATGATTTACCCAGTTTTGGAAGAGAACATGCCAAAGAACATCCCAGTATTCTCTAACGTAGCTCAGGGTAGACCTGCTTCTCAGAGTTCTGTAGGGTGGGGAGGCGTTGCAAGTCGTGCTGTGGATGGTAACACCAACAAGCAATGGCCCGGGTAAGAAAACAATAGGCATGGCCTCCACACGGCCTCTGTACGGCTACACGCTGCCACCATACAGCCTCTATACAGCCTCTTTTATACCCAACCTTGAGTGATGAGTTTTTATTTTGGCAGTTTCTTTGACTAGCTGTGAAAAAGTTTAAACTCATGGAATATTTGAGTAGCTGAAACGTTTCAAAAAGACTGTATTGATTTTTTAAAACTGACGCAAATGAAGGGCCAAATTGAATTATCTCTAGCCGTCTTATCTAGCCTGATTAACAAAGTAAGTAACACGGTTAGTAAAAAGGTAAATCTCATTTTGATTATGTTCACCAAATGACCGCAGCCAATCCTGTACCCATTCTTCTCAAGCGACTGGTAACTGGTGGACAGTGCAGCTTGATCAAGAGGAGTACATTCAGAGCATCAAGATCCACAACAGACTGGACTGCTGCTCCAACAGAATTAACGGTGCCAAGGTAACAAACGCGGGAATTGGAATAGTTTCAAAATTAAAGTAATACGATGAGAAAATCAGAATGCCCCCATCCTAGCCATCCTAGTGTGATTGATTTCTGCTTCTACAATAAAAGCTGCCTACATTTTAATTTTTACCTTTGGGGAGGTGCCAGTGGTCGGTGTTTTTAAGACTTCGATGATGTAGAATTGTAATAAAGGAGTAAAGGAACAATGACACTTCCGTAATTTGAACCTTATCCTCAACAAATTGTACATCCCGCTAATCAATAACATTCAATCTTAAAATCTAACCATTTAACCAATTACCTAATTACCCAATTAAACCCAAGTAATTGCAGGTGTGGGTAGGTATAGGATCAGAATGGGAGCTGTGTGGGGAAGTGAACTACGACGGATCCCCTGTCTTTGTGATTCCGTGTAACAAGTACGGGAACGGTGTTAAGATAACAAATGATAACAGTTATCTTACTCTTTGTGAGGTTGAGGTTATGGGTAAGTGCGTTTTAAACGGGCTAATTTCCAGAGGATTATTTACCGGAGAATTAAGTATAATTAAGTATACTATATAATATACACTATATACGTGTATGTTAAAGTACATTTTAGAATTGAAATGTATCCTTGAGTAGTAAATAACATGGTCTGTCCTTCACCGTACCGGCTTCTAGAGAACTCTTGAAATTATTCACTAAATACAGCGAGAGAGCATATTGATATAAGAATATTTCACAATTATATTTTTTATTAACGTCTGGCGAGAGACCTAACTGTATTCTTATTTCAGTGCCAGAGGAGGTCCCTTCGGAAGTGATCGATGAAGAATAGACATTAGTGTTCAGTGATCACGTCATAGTAGTAGTGTGTCTAGAAACATCAGTTCTTTTTGTCGTTTTATTTATTAAAATTTAATTATTCGAGTAAAATCTTCTTCTTCTTACTTCCTTACATATGGCATTTTCGAGTCGTTTTAATGTGTAAAATTGATGTAAATACCATTACCCTGTTTGTATGTACATTGGCTTCGCATTTATTTCAAAACCGAGTTTCTATCATTGTTAAACTTTGGTTTATGCTCCAAAAGATTATTTTAGCGTCGATTAAGAAAAGAATTCGATCAACGTGACAAAAAAGGAAAAATATCACTATTGAAGATATCTTTAAAAATGTAGTACAGGAAATAATACCTGACGAAATTTAACCTCATTTTATCTCGATAATGATTCGGAAGATTAAAATTTGGTTTTCGGGTTAGTTTGTTGTTCTAGTGAGTGAATAGGTTCAGAATATATATGGTCAGAATATAGTCAGAATTGGAGTCATATCACGGGATGGGATAAAACAAAACCATAATGATATTTTGTGATATAAAAATATATTTTGTGATATAAAAAGTGGGGCACCCAACAAACCTGCAGATTTCAGGACTCATGTAGTAGGGAGTTCCAACAATAGAGTCAGCAGCCTCGCTGTCTGAGGTCAACATCTTACTGATACCAAAATCACCTACTTTCAGAATTCCTGTCTGAGAAGATTACAATTTACAATTATATCGAACATGAGATGTGTGTAATAAGCATGTTACATGAATGTTAAATGAACGTTCCTGACTTCCTTGAAAATATTACGTGGCAGATTGACGTTTTATAGATAATCACGCGGGAGTCATAATTGAGTGGCTGCCAAGAAATTACTGCATAACCACTGCCTTTAATTGCATTATAATGTAATGGTCATTAGACTTAATAATGCTACATTACAGTGAGGAATTAGCATTTAGCACGTTTACTGTACTGGAAATATGGACCAGCAAGTCTTACAACAGGTTTACGCCCAAACAGTTATCAGAATTTTAGAAACAGAATTAATTTGCCACCAAATATTCCCACCATTCATCAAAATACTGAATAATTTTACTAATTTCTCTGAATTATAACTCAGAATCTTAGACTTAAAAGCGCACCCGACAAATAACCCCGCAGCACGGTCATTGATCAGATGACACTTCTGACAGCTGATTGGCAGAAATCCTTGCTATCTGTTCCCTGATTGGTTAGTTTTGCTGTTACCAACCTTGTTGAGAAAGATGTTGACAGTTTTAATGTCTCTGTGGATTATCCCGCTGGAATGTAGGTATACACAGGCGCAGCACAGCTGGTAAAAATACCACAACACCTCCTCCTGAAATACCGGGGTCATTAACTTATTATCAATTTATGTCGAATACCGAGAATATTTATTCCTTCACTGATCCTTTCTGGACTTGAAAATAATTTACTGACATTATCTCCGCTACCTTGTCTCGGAGATTCACTGTGATTAATTTAATGATTTTACATCAAAACGATCAAGATTGTCGTGCAGTACAATGGTCAATTGAATCGGCAGATCAAAAGTGAAAAGGATAATTTACAGAGGCTATACTCTTGTTCTGAAGAAGAGTTTATGGCAGTACCATCTACTTTTCTTCACGCAAATTATGTTATCCACGGAGAGCACATTTTTAACACTCCCTAGGAGGACGTACTTAAACTTACATTCTTTATTACACACCAGTAATTTTATGGCATTTGATGTGTTAAACAGAGGATTTGTGCAGCGTGTGATCTGCTTGGAGAGCAGATCCAGCACCTAAACTTGTACAGACAGCATCACAAATCCAGATAATCATTTGTGTGTAAATACAATAGAACACGGTGAGTGTGAATGTACCAAGGCTAAGGGTCTTGACACAAGCAGGTTTCTCAGCTTTACGGCATAAAGGTTAGCTAATATTATTTTAAAGATGCAAATTTGAAGTATAAGAAACACGTACTCTAGATTGGTAACGTTGAAGCTATTAACTTAATCGACCACATTTATTCTATATATTTGTATCTATTATAATATACATTATACATAATATATTAAATATTTTGTTTGATGCTTAGTTATTACAAAGTCAGCCGCCTCAGTTTGCTTGTAGTGTCGTACATTTACAAAGCACTTGAAAAGTAAAATACATTTAACTTTGACTCTACATACCATCAGCATACCATTAGCATACCATCAGATATACACTGTCAATTTGCATTTAAAAAGTCTGGCATGCCTACTGAGTACTGGGAGAATTCGGCATTCCGCCTTTCTAAGTAGGGCTTTGAATGTTAAAATGTACTTGGTACACAACTCTAACTTATCAGAAATATGTTGTTGAACCATGGTGGCTGATGTGACTACCATTAATTAACCGAACTGTCATCAATTAAAAAATTAACTTAGTATCCACGATGGCGGGAAATCTAATAGACACTTGACAGCTATGACAAGACTTCATAATATTAAAATATTTTGCATAATAATGGAAGACTTGACAACTGATGGGAACTGGGAAGGGTAGCGGCCAGATTCAGTTAAATCCTAACCACCCTACAATCAAAGCTAATTAATATTTAAACAATTTAACTGCTTGGATTATCAAACAATATTGAGTAATTAATTTTACTATTGTATATGGTTATTATTATATATATATTATACATATTAGCCGTTAGGCTATATAACAAATAATTTGAGGTCCCAATGTCAAAGCGATAGAAGAGACTATGACGTGACCGTTTGTATCCTAAGCAACGCATCTACTTCCTGGGCTACAGTATTGACTTCGCCATTTTCTCCTCCCTCACCGCCATTTTCTCCTCCCTCTTCCTCACATCACTATGGATCTGAATTCTGTTACCAATGTTTTAAACTCGTTTTCATTAAATGAGCTGAAAGCTCTCAAGGCCAGTGTTGAGAATGTCATGAAACTTAAGAGAAATTCTGTTAAATGCGAGGACTTCTTGGAATTGCATTCACATTTTGTTCAGAACAAGAGTGTTCAACATGGCACGTTGATGTCTGAACTTGAAACACTTATGGCCAAGCAAACTGCTGTGAAAACTGCCACAAAGTGGCTCACTTCCACTGGAGAAGAATATGTATGGTCTTCCTCAAATGGACACACCACGACTAAGGAGCCAATCGATATTTTAAATTATCCTGGGATATCAGAGCTTATGCATGATATCAACTCCAAGTTTGGCTGCAAGCTAAACTCATGCCTAGCAAGCATGTACAAGTCTGGTTCTTGTGCAACTAGGTACCACAACGACGACGAGGTGTCTCTTGACCAGTCGCAAGGTATTTATGTAGTTTCATTTGGAGCTGAGAGGACCATCGACATAATTCCAGAAAATGGGGATAAGCGATGTAACAGTAAATGCTATATCACCCCAAAGGACTGTAGTTTGTATATTATGAAACCGGGGTGTCAGGAATATTGTCTTCACAAGGTTCGTGCAGAGAGCTCAGTTAAGGGGACTCGGTATAGCTTATTTTTTCGCTGCCAGATACCGAAGACAGATACAAATGTAGTCAAGGAGCAGATTGCCCGCACTACAATTCCTATGCCGCCCACCACCACCTCAACACCAACCCTTTACTACCGAAATACTCCAAGAAAACCGAAGAGCAGGAAAACCACTGTCCTGTTTGGTACGTCAATGACAAAATTCGTACGGACAAATAAGTTGGGATTCCGGGGAAGGAAAGTAATCAATGTGTCTCAAAGTGGTGCAAAAATTAGAGACATCACTGAAAACATTCATAATTTTCATAAAACTCATGCAGCTGCAGAAGCTGACGATATTGAAAAAATTATATTGAGTGTTGGTACAAATGACATTAAACATTCTAAGTATGGGGTTCAGTTCCTTAGGAAGTATCTTACTGAATTAATTGACACCACTAAGCAGTTATTTCCCGCTGCAATTATAATTATCCAATGTTGTCTTCCTATTAAGTGTTTATATTCCTACATAGCAAAGAATGTTCTAGATTTTAATAATCTACTTAAAGACTTATGCCTAAATAATAATTGCGTGTTCTTAGACTGTTTCTCAGTCTTTTTAACTCGAGACTTTAGATCATGTAATGAACTTCTATACCATGATTGGCTTCATCTCAACATGAGAGGAGTAGGTTTACTGTCCACTTGGCTTAAGTTTGTTGTAAACGAACACAGTTTTGACAGGGTTGTAAATAATCTTCTGGGAATTTAAATCTTTGATCTTTTCTTCCATTTAATATTTTGATTAAGACGTTGCGCCTAAAATTAAAACTCAAACAAATCTCTGATTTAATCTTTTTCTCAATTTTATGCCTCCCATTTCAGGTACATTCGGTCACTGTCCATTTTCCAATATGTTAGACAATGAATCGTTTAGACTTAGAATAGGTCTTTTTGCATGCAAAAGGCCTCGTACACAGTCAAGAAATGCACTTATACATATCAACACGTTTATACCTAACAAAATTTACACATTTAAGTCTCCATACACCCCACACATCAACTACAATTATCATAATCATATGTTTCTCTTCTATTCTCTCATCATGACTTACTTTCTCCCAATTCTTCTCTCCACGGTTAGGTCCATGAACACCGTATTCCCCCTAGATTCTAATATTCATTCCTCTCTACTCCTTGACAGCCCACGTTATCTTATACCATTTCTTGCTTGCTCCCACATCAAACTTTTCTTTGTAATTATCTCCTCATGGTTTATAAGAAATGTTCTTCTCCCTGGTAAGATGAATAGAGTCAAGTATTCCAGCCGCCTCAGGCGTCTAGTCTCTTTATTCATTCTTTGGGTTTTCTCTCTTAACTTTCTTTTGATAACTCTTGTTAATCCTTCTATGCTTAATCCAGGTCCCAACTCCCTATCTGTACTCTACCAAAATGTCCAAGGTCTCATTCCTTTCAGTAACCTAAGCTCCTCCCATCCCCTTCTTGATGGTAATAAGATTTCCGAACTTCAATCCTTTGCTAACATAGAGCAGCCTGACATAATTGCCCTAAATGAGACTTGGCTCAAAAAATCTATTTCTAGCAACGAAATCTTTCCTTCTTCTCAATATGAAATCTTCCGCAATGACCGCACGAGAAAGACTCATCCTCAAGATCCTAATAACCCTAAAAAGTTTAGGGAAAATGGAGGTGGTGTTCTTTTGGCTGTTCGGTCTGATCTCGACGCCACTACAACCCGACTACCAGTTAGCCTAGGTGCAGAAATGCTTGCCGTTAAAATTTCTTTTCCTAACAAAGAGAGTATTGTAATCTGTACTTGTTATAGAGTAGGAACTCTTGGGTTACCTAATCATGATGTCATAGTTAGTTATATTCGCAAGCTAGTTTCCAAAAAGAATCCCCCTAAAATCTATGTTATTGGTGATTTTAATCTCCCCCATACAGACTGGCTATCTTCATCCAGTACCGTACCTATTGAGCAATCCTTCATAGATTCTTTCAGTGATCTTTCTCTTTCCCAGTTGATCACATCACCCACCCATAAAAGTGGTAATACATTAGACATTCTTCTCAGTAATTATGATAACACAATCGATAACTTGAATGTCTGTGATCCTCATTCCGTGTGCAAATCTGATCATTTTCCTGTCACTTTTTCAATTAAAAGCTCCTTTTCCCGTAAGAAAACTCCTAAACGTAAAATCTATAATTTTAGGAAAGCAAACTGGGACATGGTTAATCGTGAATTATGCTCGATTAATTGGCAAGTCCTAGAATGCCTAGATCCTGATTCGTCTTGGAAGTTAGTTAAAGACTGCATTATGAATTTAGTTGATATACATATTCCTAAAGTAATTATTAAATCAGAGTTCCAACCCCCGTGGTTCGATAGTGAACTTTTTTCTTCATGCCGTAAAAAAGATAGACTCAGAGCTAAATTTAAAATTTCTGGTTCTATTTCTGATGAGTTAAAGTTTGTTACTAGCCGTAAAGATTTTAAGAGGCTCTCATCAGCCAAAATAAGAGATAATCTTTTTAATAGTGATGATCCAGCGCTTATAACTAAGAAGTTTTGGTCACATGTTAAGTATAAATCTAACTCCTGCCGTATTCCTAATTGTGTTAGTTATTCTGGACAGCTTCGGTTCAATCCCAAAGATCAAGCTGAACTTTTCAATTCTTTCTTTTATAACCAGTTTTCGGATCCTTCACTTTATGACACTGACATCTCCTATGTCAATGATGTTGATTTTGATATTGACTTCGATCATCGGGATGTTCGTAAGCTTCTTTCAAATATTAATTCAAATAAAGCCCAGGGACCAGATGGCATACACGGTAAAATTCTAAAAAATTGTTCCGTAGGTTTAGCTTACCCTCTAACATGCATTTTTCGTGGATCCTACAACAGCGGCTACATTCCACAAGAATGGAAACTTGCAAATGTTGTCCCAATATTTAAGAAAGGTAAGAAAAGTGAGGTTGAAAACTATAGACCAATATCCCTTACTTGTTTAGTCATGAAAGTTTTTGAGCGCATTGTTAAACGTAAACTGCTTTCTTTGACAAGTACCCTTCTTGATCCCAGGCAGCATGGTTTTCTAGAGCACAAGTCATGCACAACCAATATGGTTGATTTTTGTGATAGCCTGGCATTGTCTCTTAACGAAAACATTATCAATCATGTTGTGTATTTTGATTTTGCTAAGGCATTTGATTCTGTAAATCATGATATCCTTCTTCATAAGCTAAAGACCTTATATAACATTGATGGTACACTTCTCAAATTTCTTACCAATTACCTTCAAGGCCGTTACCAAAGAGTGGTTATTGGTAATGAGATGTCATCTACCCTCTCAGTTAATTCTGGTGTCCCCCAGGGCTCTATCCTTGGTCCCTTACTTTTTGTATTGTTTATCAATGATATTCCTCTTGGCCTTTCGGATAATACTGATATTGTTTTGTATGCCGATGATACAAAAATCTGGCGTAAAATACATTCATCTTCTGATATTACCAATTTACAAATGGATATAGACTATCTCTCTGACTGGGCACTTAGAAACAAAATGCGATTCCATCCAGCAAAATGTAAAGTGCTTATTGTTTCAGGAAAACCATCTTTATCTCCTCCATTCGCATATAATCTTGATGGCTCTCCTCTTGTGTATGTAGAGTTAGAAAAAGATCTTGGAGTCGATGTTACTCCTAAGCTCAGTTGGAATAGTCAGTGCGACAGAATTTATACTAAGGCCTGCCAACAACTTGGTATGGTCAGAAGAGATGGCCATATTGTCATTGATCAGAAACGTCGCCGGGCGCTTTACCTCTCCCTGGTTCGTAGCCAATTCGAAAATTGTTCCATAATCTGGCGCCCTTGTAATAAATCACTTAGTGATAAATTAGAAAGTCTCCAAAAGAGAGCTATTAAATGGATTCTGTCTGAAGAGGGCCGCAGTTATCCACCTGAGCAATATGTCAAAAAGTGCAAGCTTGTCGACATTCTCCCTTTGTCTCAAAAGTTTGACTTGAATGATCTTATTTTTTTCCACAAAGTTCTAAACAATTTAATTCCTGTATCGCTGCCTCACTATCTCACTTTATATCAGGGCACTTCTCGACTAAGACGTTGCCACCTCGACAGTCTGTCTATTGTGTCATCAATTTTACCTAAGTTAAGTCAGAATTCACACACCTTATGTACCTCAAATAGCCCACTGGCAAAATCATTTTTCTACAGAACTCATATACTGTGGAATGGACTCCCTTTACAGGTAAGACAGATTGTGTTTACAAGTGTTTTCAAAGCTGAGGTCACCAAGCATCTATGGAAATGTTTATTGGATAGTGAAACAACAGCCTAGCCTAGTCTCTTTGCTCCCCATATTATTATTATTTTTGTTTTATTAATTTTTTTTATCTACCTTCCTATACTTTCAACATCATATCACACTTCACCCGCACACCTCACACATTAATGACCATATCAGACCTGTATCTAATGTATCTGGAATTTGACGTATTGAAATACCAATTTTGACTATATATCCACAGTTATTCACCATGGATTTGTTTGTTATTAAATAGTTTTTCATAAATTTTTGGATTTAGATTAATTCGATGTAATGGGTCCAAGTTACTGCGGACATAGTTCACTATGTGTTTACCGTGTTTGGGTGCCCATCATATTTTACAGATGGGGGCGATATTTTGAACGATTCTATTTTATATTCATCTATTGCTGTACTCTGTAAAATTTGAAAAGTATTTAATAAAAAAAGGGATACTGACTGTGGTTCCTGCAAAACCGTTAACTGCAATTGAATTTACCTCTAAATTAATAAATTTATCACCTCAGCGAAAGACTGCTGCTGAGCACATATCAGATGACTAAGGGTGCCCCCATTAGCATACTCCATCTCAATGTACATAACATCACTGTCCACATAGTTGTTGTAATACCCCACGATATTCCGGTGAGATAACAAGGACAGAACGTCCACCTCATGCTGCGCTGCTTGGATTTCTTTGTCGCTTTTTAGCTTCACCTACAATGGTTCATACTTAAAATTAATTTATAAGAATAAGGAATTAAATATTAAACATGAGTGATTTGACAGCTAAAAATAAAACCAATTTAGATATTTGAAAACGCGTTTACCTCCTTCCATACCACTAAGAAGTTATCAGAATATCGTCTATATAGAACTGCTTTTCCAAAACTTCCTTCCCCGAGAACCTTCAAGTAATGATAGAGACCCTCAAAGCAATCATCTTCAGCCATGACATCAGTTACATCTTGTGACCTATCATTACTGATTACTATGTAAGCTATGAAATTACACTCAGCAATACATGTGGTTAAAAATTGGATCTATCATAGCAAAACAGCTGGACACAGAAAGGAAATTTGATTCGATTATGTTAAATTGAATAATTAATACCTATTATATACATTATACACCTTCAAAGTTTTAAGTTATTAAGAAATAATAACAGCAGTTTTGCACATGCAGACATAGAGAAAGTTCGGCGACTTATGGCAGATAGGGTTTTATGGAGACAGCAAATGAAGCCTCCTAAATTTGAGTAAGTTCATCAGTGGCGTAACGTTGCCTGTTGGCACCCCCCTGCCGAAAAAAGCGCCCCCCTGTTGGCGCCCCCTCCCCTTTTCGTGCCCCTCCCTAAAATTGAACAAATTAGGAGATTTTAAAGAATACGCCGGTAAAATCTCTAAAAAAGTGTGTATCTAAAGCAAAACGCGCAGTTTTGCTAGTACTTTAGTTAAGTTTTCGAAATTGTCCCACATTCAAACGACGATTTGGCGCCCCCTAAGACGGCGCCCCCCTGCACAGCGGGGTCAGCAGGGCCTTTCGTTACGCCACTGAAGTTCATTCAACACTTGTTTGCCAAATGATGCAATGAGGGTCGGTAGGTTGGGTTGGAGCCCATCTCTGCAGCAAAGGTCTCTGTCATCTTAAATGTGGTACACCTTTGCCATATTCTGTAAAGAGCACATTTATCATCAGACGTGATTCTGCGCAAGTGGTTGGGAGTAGTATCATAATCAAGATCACCAGCTTCATGTCGATTTTGCCTCATACTGTGGGCCAGCCCGCACAAGTTTGTGGCCACAATTTGCAGCCAATAGCCACGAATGATTTAACAAATAAATAAATAGGTCTCGCGATGTGAGACAAATGTTGATTGTAGTCCAGATAGTTTTCTTTGGACTTGTTCCAGATGCTGTAAGAAATTTATGGCCCCAGTCTTCCTGATTTTTGTTTCGGCGACTGAATCGTCGATGGGCCGGCAAATATTTGTTGTCGAGTAGTGTTGAATACTCATATTAACATGATTATTGATTTAATTTAGGAATTGTATATAAATATCTTTGACCAAGTTTAATTGTCAATGAGAATGCACCCCAGCACTAGGCGCGTGCGGCGGCTTTGATGTTAGCGGCTTGTCACGTTATTGCGGCACTGCGGCACTGCGGCACACGTTTGCGGCACTGCGGCACACGCTTGCGGCACTGCGGCACACGCTTGCGGCACTGCTTTACCTAGCCATGAGTCTACGCATACTGCGTGACGCGCTTGTTTCACAACAGAGAGGGCTCTGGATAAAGCAACGGCACTGCGGTTAATGCTTGCGGCACTGTAGCAAATGCTTGCAGCAATTTGTGCACTAATCAATATTTTACACCTGCGGCAATCATTTCTGGCACTTTTTATATTGTGTATTAAAAGCACATAACAGTTAAGAAGGCTGGATGGTATTTAGATTTCGACCGTTCTGTGTACATTTGTAAATGCTGATTTCGATTGTAATGGTAAGTATTTAAAGTTAAGTTACCGGGCCGCGTTCAGCCTGTCATTCCGCCGAATCTCTATTCAGCGGATATTTGTTCGTTTATGAACATAATAGCCTGGGGTCCCCAGGTAAAAGTTAAAGTGCACAGATTTGTACCTCATACGTCAAATCTTTGTATTACATATTATCTTAAATCTTTACAATTACAAATTACTTTATAAAACCAAAACCTTGTAGCGCGATGCACTACTGGGTCGAGCGCGCGCATCCAATAATGCTTCTCGTATGCAGATCGGCGAGATGCGAAGGATTGACATCGTGAATCAAACCAAAACCTAACTCAAATCCTAAAACATAAACAGCTCAAATATTGTTTTATAAGCCTGCCATGCCATGCCACGTGCGCGCGTTTGAAAAATTGTTATTTTCTCATAACTCACCAATACATGATTTTCAATTTCATGCTCTGTAATAACAAATGACAAACAAGCTGTTGTATAACCACTACACACTAATATTTGCGCATTGTTTTAACGTAGTTTGATCGTAGCGAGATGCGTTACTGGGCCGCGCCGCGCACTCAATTATGCTTCTCACAACCACAGTTAGATCGGCGAAATGCGCTACTGGACCTCACTGAGATGCGAACTGCGAAGATCAATTGACATCGTCAATTATGTATTCTTCGCGTGCTTTTAATGGATACATCAGACGATAGCATTTTTGATTAATTTATATGATTAATTGACGATGTCAATTCATGGCAGCTCGGCGCGGCACAGTAGCGCATCTCGCCGATCTAGCCAGTGAGAAGCCTTATTAAGTGAAAAGCCTTATTAAGTGCGCGGCGCGGCACAGTAACGCATCGCGCTACAATTTATATGATTACATTGCAAATTATTTAATCGCGATTATGAAGTTTGAAAAAAGTTATTACTACAATCAACAATGCGCGCAATTAAGGGAATTTGCTTTTGGTAAAAATATAACTGTGATTATCAAAATTAGATGCTTAGGATTTAAAAAACAGGGTTTTTAATCATTTTATTTGAATGTTTACAGTTTGTGAAACGTTTTATTAACAAGAATTTCGCCGCGGTTTAACCATGAACCACGCACATCAATCTTCCCTACGATGTATTTGTATTTTGTAGTTGTACCATCAATTGTTTCGAGTGAAAAGTGTGACCGGAAAAAGTGCATTATATTTACATACTATGTTTTTAATAAATGAGTGGGATTCAAGCATGGTAAAAATTGACGATTTATTTGACCAATGTAGCGCCGCGCGCATCAACAATAAATGAATCCAGAAAATTTCGGAAAATAACTTTGCGAAGGAGGAAATTCACTGTAATTAATTAACACATGGCTAGCGTCGCGCGCAGTATAACAAACGCTTCCAATACACATAATCATAGGGGAATGGTCTATATTGCGAAGGAGCAGACTTTTGTCGTCAACGTAGGACCGTTGGGCCACCTCATATATATATATCCAAACTTATTTCCTACGATCTTTTTGCCTTCGGCAAGAGTAGGGAAAAAATATAAGTATTCAAGAAAAATTAATTCTCATATTATTCTTATGAGTGTCATCCTTTGGTAAAATATTGATTACAGATGATTTAGCTTTATCATTTATCAAACATCTCCCATAGTCTGCTAGTAATTTTGACCAATGCCTTCCATGTCATCTTCCATAAGAACAGTCCTACTACTAATGGAATCAACATAATTGGTCCCTTTTAAGATGTTTTAAGATAAAGACCCTTTTAACATGTTTCTTATCCTCCTTTTGAATTAATTATCTGGCGAAAGTCTCTTTTTGCACTTTGTTTATTAGAGCTTAGCAATGCCCCACTAAGGTCTCTGAACATGCTACTACTAATGTATATATTATCTATAGGCTGGTTGCTGATAAGCACCTGTCATGGATGAACTCTTAACTCGTCTTCTTGATAAGCTGCTGGAGTTTGAGATTTTTTCATATGGGTCATGGTAGTTGTCATTGCACATGTTGGTTGGTGTACTTGTTAGTCTGGGGACAACAGGTTTGATCAGTCTGATTGTGATACTGATCCTTTTGTCTGTATAAGATGGTTGAGTACAGATTTCATGTCTGTAATGAAGCTGGGATTTTTTAGACATGATACAAACATCTCCATGCTTTAGATCTAGGGCAGACACCACTTTTCCTGTTTTAATTTCTGTGAATGAACTGCAATATGAGAGTTTTCTTCGGTGCATTCTTCATTATCATTATGGGAAGGCATGCATTCTGTCCCAGTACTATAGTAGTTCAGGAGAGCACTGTTGTAATAATAATTCGGGGATAAGACGTCACGATGATCAGACACACAAACTTTGATAACAATAACGAAGCAATACTTCATTATCAAGACGAATTATGAATAACCTCGAGCATTTTTACAATACTATTACTAAACACCTCAGTACAACTTCACTGTCATTTTACTGATTAAAGATCTGTGCGCATTCCCAACATTAAACTCACGAATTTATCTTTTAGTACTTTACAACCCCGTACAAATGCTACACATCCTTAATCAGTAATTATAATCTCTTGTTATAGATCACGATATTATATATTTTGATAGTTTGAAAGTTTTCGTTTCGTTGAAAGATCAGCAACATTGACCCGTCACTGTGCATAGGATACAGCAATGCTGTTATTGTGTGTGGGACGAATGATCTCCGGACTGAGAACTTGAAATCTCCTAACGATGTTCATCAACTAGTGGATATTCTCCACTTGAAGCTACAACAGATCCAGACTATATGCCCTCGTATTAAGATATTTGTTACCGCTGTGTTGCCTTCGCGATTTCCCCGCATGAACATGAACATCATCATGTTCAACAGACTTGTCTATGATATGCTTGAGTCAAGCTTCGAGCAAAGCGTGTGGCAGATCGGTGTCTATCACTTCGTTGATAACAATGGTCTGCTTGCCATGAACTTGACCAGAGATGGGGATGAGATACATCTTGGCAACCGCGGTCTATCTAAGTTTGTGAGATGTGTTAAACATTGGGTGTATGTGCGTGAGAAACTTGAGAGAACTAGACAGAGGAAACCTGGTCAGACAGTGGGATAGTAGCTTACAAGAATTATACCAGATCCCATCTTACACCAGTTTTTATCAAAATACCCTCCCAGATAAGAAAAAGGGCACTGGGGTTGCGCTTTATGTCTCAGACAACCTTAACACTGTTGTCCTAGAAAAGTTATCCTACTGTACTGTAAACATTGAATGCTTATTCGCCGAAATCACTGATAGCACTGGTGTTGGGGTTGTCTACGGAGTTGTATACCGTCCCCCTAGTGGCTGCCTTGAGGCTTTTTGTGAAATTTTACAAACCATTGCTAAGCAGATATCCGGCAAGCCCTTTCGTTTGCTTGGCGACTTTAACTCAGACCTCTTCAAAGTTTCGTCACACAACCAGTTATTTGAAGACACTATAATTAGTAATGGTTTG